CGTCGTTGTTGATTGGGATGAGGACGATGTTGTGGACAACATCGTCGTGATGCGGGCTAGTCATGATCTCGGGATTTTGAAAATGTGAAGCTTTGGTTCTTCTACTCGGAGGAACAGGGAAGCTTAGTTTCCCACAGATGGTGCCACTGATCGTACCTGACTAGAGAGATCAATGAGATACCACGCGTATGAGCTATCGAACGGTTGACTTGATGGGCAGAGGGGAGGGTGTACCTGAAACACACTTCGATGTCAAAGTAAGTGACGGGCAGGATAACAAGTACAGAGAGAGAGAGAGTGAGAAAGTTAAGTTACCTGACCCTTTACTGGAAGATGGTATTTATAATGAACCCCCAGTGCATGGCCAACAGTTACCTTACGTTGGGCTTGGCTTCCAAGCCCAACGTTAGTAACTGCTAGGGCTGACGTGGCATTCTGAAGACCAGCATGTGGTCTTTGCCCTAGGGTAACTGTTCTGCGCTATTTGGGAGGTGGAAGACCGAATCTCCAGGACGTGGGTAGTTACTTAATGACGTGTCCCTGCGTGGGGGACATGTAGAGAACGTGGGAGAAGTCTGAGGAGCTCCCCGGGCAGGCTGGGCTCTGCCCGGCGACGGGGGAGAAAGAGGCTGGTCGGACAGCTACGAGGGTCTTGCCCGACGGGGGAAGATCCTGTGCCCGACGGATCTTCTACCCGTCTGTTAGGTCCTATTGGGCCCAAATCCAGTGGGGCTTGGGCCTGTTCGATTGTGGGCTAAGCGTCGGCCCAACCCAGAACAATTATATATTTTATTTAAAATTTATTTTTTGAGCTTTTTATGATGCAAAATTATTTATTAAACTATTATAATCAATTTTATTTAATATTTTTTTAATTGATAATAAAGTCAATTCATTTAATCTTTGTTGAGACATTATTGGTTTTAAATAATATTTATTTAAAATTTATTTTTTGAGCTTTTTAAGATGCAAATTCATTTATAAACTATTATAATCAATTTTATTTAATATTTTTTTAATCGATAATAAAGTCAATTCATTTAAACTTTGTTGAGACATTGTTGAAATTTTTTTATTGGGAGTATTAAATTGATGGAGGTTTTTTTAGGTCTTAATTTCTTTGATAACAAATTATATATTTGGGGGCCTAAAGCACTAGCCTTTTTTTTATAAGCAAAAATAATATATTAGATGGGAGTACTAGGGCTACTCCAACCCAATTACAAACACCAGCAGAAAACAGAACTTACAAGAAATCTAAAGGATTAGAGACTCATTCATAATAGCTACATCTAATATTACTCCTATTTTTATTCCCCAAAGTCAATCACCACAAAGACAAATAAACTATTCTCTGAAAAATAGTATCCGCATCGAAAATCTCATCGTTAAAGATGATACGGTTCCTCGATTGCCATAAAGCCCAACAAGAGGAAAACTAATGCAAACAAGCTGATTGGACAGAACAAATGGTCCTCACTCAGATGAACCACTCCCTCAAGAAGGTGATACAATTTCTGTGAATAAACGACTTCAAACCTAACCAAATACCAACTCGGTTCCAAACCAATTTAGCTTTCTCGCAGTCACAGAAAATATGGTTAGAGTCCTCCTTCATGAGAAAGCAAAAACACACACACAGTCGTGAGGATTACTTATAATGTTACAGAGAAATAAGTTGGATCTAGTCGGTAATATATTAATTAACAAACGCTACCCGAAGATTTTCACTTTCGAAGGAATTACCGTTTTCCATAACAAATCTAAAGCAAAAACCGTGTTTTGGTTCCATAATAAAGAAGATTCAAAATCCATGTACCTGCAGTAAAAAGATTCGACGGTAAAATGCTTGAACTCACTTCAAGGCCAACAGATTACGTCTTCGACTTCCCTAATAGACATGTTTGAACGGTTCGAATAGAACTCAAACAATCTCCAAGAACAAACAGATTCCTCATAACCACCAGCTTGACTAACCAACAAATTCTTTACCATGGCAGCCGCGAACAAATGCAGGAAAGCTAACATCAAAGGTTCATTACCAAGCCAAGTATGCTTCCAAAATAGAATTGAATCACCCATGCCTAACTCAAATGAAAGACCCTCTAAGAAACTACCTAAGTGATTATCATCCCTCAACCTAAGAATGTCACGCCACTAAAGAGAATGTAACTTGTTTCCCGTCGTAACCTCCATAACCAACAAATCAGAACATACATTGTCGTATTTTTCTCTGATAATCCCGCCCCAAATGACTTCCTTCTCCTTCAATAATCTCCAAAGCCACTTAGATACTAAAGCCTTATTGAAGACACTTATATTTTGAATACCAAGGCCCTTTTTCTCTTTGGCGCAGCTGACAGAACTCCAGCTCACCCAACCCAATGAATATTTTTCCGTTGTTCCTGCCCATAAGAATTTTCTCTAAACAGAGACAGTCTCCTTGAGCACTGCTACTGGTGCCAGAAAAAACAAAAACAAGTGAATTGGCAGGCTTGCCAAAACCGAGTTGATGAGAGTTACCCTTTCTCCGATCGACAACAACCTTCTTTTCAAGAAGAAAGTATGGACTTAAAAATATTAATCATAGGTTTCCAAAAAGAACCAACTCTATGATTTCCTCCCACTATTATACAAAGAAACTTGAAAGGAGTCGAACCCACCCTGCAAGCTCGAAACTGAGACGATGCACATAGAAATTAATTACTATTTAACTCTTAGTTATTAAACTAGTAGGAAAATAGTTTTTTAGGTATTAGAATTTTATTTATATCATTATTTAGTAGCTAAATGGCTATTAGTATTTTTGTGTTATTAGAGATCATTTTCGTAATATTTAAAATGATTTATTTGTTAGAAATTAATTTGTAAGAGAGCATGTGTAAGACTTGCAAATATAAATAAAAATGACAAAAAAATTCATTCCCGCGGTTAAATATGTCGCTGATATGAGACAAATAGTTTAATAGCTATTTGTTAATAAATTATAAAAATCATTTTAATATCATTAGTTTATTATACCTTATCTTTTCATCTTTTATAAAAAAAATTAGTCTTTATATATATATATATATATATATATATATATATATATATATATATATATATATATATATATATATATATATATATATATATATATATATATATATATATATATATATATATATATATATATATATATATATATATATATATATATATATATATATATATATATATATATATATATATATATATATATATATATATATATATATTAAATTTTCTTTGAAGAAAATCTTTCACATTTCATTCAAATTCTATTAGCCATTTCATATTTAATACTTCAACAACTTCATAGTTCAACCAACTATGTCGTCATTCATCCGTTGAACTAGTATTTTTTCCCCTACTCCATTGTTGTCCGCTCTTCTATCATAACTCACAACCAAGAAGGGACCTACTCTTGCAATAATATGGTCAGAGGCCCTCACTAAAATTTAAAATTGATCTATATAAATATTAAATGCTATTGAAAAGCTCTAAAATGCTAAGATATATGTCAATAATTTAATAATTTTAAATTGTATTAGTGATAAAAACGAGGAAAGTGAAATCATCCCTTGGTTTCAAACTATCAAATTTAATAGAAAAAAATTATGATATACATATTTACTATACTTTAAAAAATAACATTAAATTTTGACAGTTGCAAATTTATATTTGTTTTTTTTTTCCCACTTGATAAATTTATATTATTGTAGAGTTTGTTTCAAGGTGGAGATTTTTGAGATCATTGGATCGAACTCTAGTTTTGTCAATTAGGATGTTGTCGATAGGGATAACTTTCAGGTTTTGACAGGAGACAAGCATGAAGTCGAAGATGGTTCGTATGCTGATGTCTATGTGTTACATATTGTATTCGAAATTAGTTCTAATATGTATTACCGAAATGTTATATCGAATTGAGTCTTGTGTTAAGGATCCAATTTTTTAGTTAGCTTGTAATGTAAGTTAGCTAGTTAGTCTATAAATAGGTTAGATCTCTCAAACTGTTGAGAGAGACCAAACGTGTTATTCATTTGTAATCATTTGTAAATTCTAAATGAGAAAATGAATAGAAAACAGTTTACCAAAATCCTCTTCTCCTTCTTTCTTCTTTTTTTCTTGAATCAAGGGAATAAGTATATTAATTCGAAATGGCGATAAGTACAGAGATAGGTGATCCAAGGGGATCCAACCGACAAAAAGGACTCAAGATTACATCATAAAACTAACCAGAGGTTTTCTAATCCTACTGTTGTTCCACCCTCGGTAGATCACATGATCTATGATGTTAGTAATCGTGGTTGTAATATCTACAGTGTTTCCAAAAATTTTGCCATTCCTATATCCCCAGATGTTGTAGATGGTTTCAGCTACCAACATCTTCAAAACTTCGACTTTCCACCCTTTTCCCTTTGTGTTATTGCTGATCCAAACCAGTTCTGCATCCCATGGTTGAGGATCATGCGTAATGTTAAACCATTCAAGCACTTCCTTCCAAATGTGCCTTGTCTCTTGACAGGAGAAAAAAAGTGATTTAGCATTCCATCCTTAGCTTGGCATAGTTTGCAGCTGCTGTCCTCAATCATCCCAAACCGTTTCAGCCTCTCCTTGGTCGTAAGCTTCCCATGACAAACTTGCCATAAGCAAAAAACTGCACGTGGTCGGGCCTTGTTGAACTTTATCAAATTACCCCAAAGGACCCTTATGCCATCATCAATCAACACCTTATAGATAATTGAAGCTTTAAATTTTTGTGTAGATATAATTTGCTCCCATTCATTCCGGATAAACTCCATGTTATCACGCTATTTCAAGATACCACGAACAATCCAACAATTGTAAGCTTTGATTTCGTAATTCATTACATTGTTTTCCTTAAGGTAATGAGTATGGATCCATTTAACCCACAAATTATCTGTTTTATTGCACAGATTCCAAAGGCATTTCAGGAGCATCACATTGTTCCATACCTAAAGATTCAACAGATTCAATCTACCCTGAGCAGTCGGGCAGCAGGTGCGAATCCAAGCCACAGGGCATTTTCTGCTAATTGTATTCTTTCTGGTCCAGATGAAGCTACGGCAGATAGATTCAATTTTCCTGATCATAGCTTTAGGCAGAGGAAGGCATTGCATCCAGTATTGGACCATTGCAGCATTTACGCTTTTCACTAATTGAATTCTTCCTGCGTAACTAAGGAGTCTAGAGGACCAATGATGGATTCGAACCACAATTTTCTCCACCAAAGGCAAAAAATGGTTGATGTTTAGTTTCCTACTAGATAAAAGGACCCCTAGATATTTGAACGGGAGTGATCCTTCATGGAAACCTGACAGAGCTGTCAAAGTCTTTCGCCTTTCACTATCCAAACCCCCAAAATAGATTTTGCACTTGCTTAGATTCAATATCAGACCCGTGGAATTGGAGAAATTTTTGAAAGTATTTAGCATCATTTGCAGAGATATTTCATCACCTTTACAAAACAGTAGCACGTCATCTGCAAAAGTGAGATTTGTGATTTGCAGCTTCTCGCATTTGGCGTGGTAGTTGAAATTTGGATCCTTTTGCATTTTCATCAAGAGTCTGTTCATGTATTCCATCATGAGGACAAAGAGCATAGGGGATAGGGGATCACCCTGTCTAATCCCTCTTTTGGCCTGCAAACAATCAGTGTACTCGCCCATTATGTTAAATCTGTAGGACACTGTGGTAATGCCTAGCATAGTCCATTGAATGAATTTGTTAGGGAACCCCATTTCTTTCATGATACATTCCAAATCAGTCCAATTCACCATATCATAGGCTTTTTGAAGATCTATTTGCAGCATGATCCTAGGTGTACCCCATTTCCTGTTATATCCCTTAAGAAGTTCAGTTGCAAGCATGATGTGACTATGTATTTTTTGGCCTGGCACAAAAGCTGCTTGATTGTGGCTTACCACACTGTGAATGACAGCTCCTATTCTATCTGTCAAGATTTTGGAGATGATTTTATAAAAGGTGGTACATATAGATATAGGTCTATAGTCTTTTATTTCATAAGCAGTGTGGTCTTTTGGAATCAGGGAAACTACAACACTGTTGAAAAGTTTGTAAATTCTGCCTGTTTCAAAATACTCCTGAACTGCTGCAATCACATCAGTTTTAACAGTTTCCCAGCCAGCTTTGAAAAATTTGGCTCCATAGCCATCTAATCCTGGAACTTTTAGGTCTCCTATTCCTTTGAGGGCTTTTGTGATGTCAGCTTCAGAAATGGGTCTGGTGAGGTGTTCCCTTTGTTCCATGTTAAGTTGTTTTCCCATCCTCATGGCTTCAATATCAATGTGGTTCATGAAATCTACATCCTTGCCCATCATATTTCTGTAGAAGTTAATCACTTCCTCTTCAATATCTGGTTTGGCTGTTAACTGTCTGCCATCATTTATTCTTAGATTGGTAAAACAGTTGGAATGTTGTCTACCTTTGATAGCTGCATAAAAGTAATGATTGTTACCATCTCCTTTTCTAATCCAGTCAATTTTTTCCCTTTGCTGTAAGATTTTCCATTCCAACTCGTTCATGGAAACCACTTCATCAGTCAGCTTCTTAGCCTCTTCAACCAAAGTGATGTTCAATCTGTCCTCAGTCAGTTTTCCTTGTGTTTCTTTTAGATTTGCTCTAGCTGCTATCAGCTTCCTTTTAATATCAGACAATGGTTTGCTGAACTGTTTTAACTCATGTTGCAGTCTCTTGAGTTTGTGCCAAAGAACATACATTGGGCTGCCCCTGATATGAGCATCCCAACTCTTCTTTATCACAACATCATAGCCTGGCAGATCAATGAGGCAGTTGCTAAATTTGAAGTGTTTGGATGGTTTCCTCTGTTCCTGTTTTTCCTCCAAATAGAGCATGGCATGGTCAGAAATGTTAGGTGGGAGAATTTTCAGCATAGTCTCCAGATTGTTGAGAAACCATTCAGTATTACCTAGGACTCTATCAATCCTAGAGTAGATGAGTCCAACAGTTTGTTTATTGGACCATGTGAAATGATCCCCAATGCTGTCCATTTCACCCAAACCTGTATTCCACATCATTTTAATCAGGTCTTCATATTCCTTTTCAGCCACTAGATTACCTCCCAATCTGTCTTGGGCTTTGGTTACATTATTGAAGTCTCCCACTGTATACCAGGGACCTTGGATGTTAATAGATAGGTGTTTTATCTCCTTCCAAAGGATTCTTCTCTTGTTGAGTCGGTTATGAGCATATACAGCAGTTAACCAGTACTTGAATCCTTCACACATATCATAGACACCACAATGTATAAATTGGCTGCTACTTTGAATGAATCTCACCTCCACCCTGTTGCAATCCCAATGGATCCAAATTCTACCATTTGTATGGTCTTTGTAGTTATCAATGTGCTTGTCATATATCATCAGTTTCTCACGAACGACCTTGTCTTTAGCTTCTTTAACTCGAGTTTCAATTAGTATGATAATAGCGAGCTTTAGCTCTTGCAGACGGGACCTAATCTCACGAATTTTACCTACTTTATTGAGTCCCCCTATATTCCACGAGACTAACATGGTTCAAGGTTTATTACCCCTTGATGGTCATTCATAACATCAAGAGATTCAAACCCATTGTTACAGTTGATGTTGTTATTATTATTATCAAACACTATGCTCTTACCTTTATCTCGTACAACTTTTGTCACTCTTATCCATGTTTCATCTGCTTTCCCTGTTGCTTCCTCTTTTTCTGGTTGTTTAGAGGGTGTCGTGTTCTTGGATGTTTCTGGTTTCTTGGTTTTTGGTTTCCATTGTTGCGTCTTCCGTCGGTCTTCACATCTGAGCCCCATTTTTTGACATGTTTCGCAGAAAGTTGGTCTCTATTCGTACTTCACAGGTTGCATTATAACATCTCCCTCAACATTTCTAATGGCTATTTCATCAATCAATTGTTGTGTAATATCCACTTCAATCAGTAGCCTTGCATATGATACACGAAGCTTGTTTGCTGTACATTCATCAATCACCAAGGGTTTTCCAATGGCACTTCCAATCTTGCTCAGACTCTTTGCCCCCCATAGGTATAGGGGAAGTTGGGGAAGTTTCACCCATATTGGTAAAGTTCTTAGCAGGTCCCTCTTTAAATTGAACCCAGGATGTCATTCCTTCAGTATCAGTGGTATATGTCGAATCGTGTAAGGGCCTTTCATCATCACGGTTTCCTTGTCTTTCTGGGAGTTGAATCTGAGCAGAAAATAACCGTCGTCGTGATAATAAAGATCTGGTATTTTCACAAAGTTCCATGTTCTCTGCATAAAGTTCTTCACCATGTTCATACTCAAATCATCTCCTACAACATAAAGAATTAGGGCATTATCCCAAAACCGTATTTCCGTTTCGATGTCTTCTTGTTCAATATCAATTTCAATCATCCCATTGACTACTTTTGGTGCAACATATTCCATTGACAGTCCCTTGGCAGGGTTCCGGTTGTCGTTTATAATATCCACCCATAGTTTCCGCTCCTCCGGTTGAACTTTTGTCGCTTCTGATGGGGTTTCTTTGATTGTGTTCTGTTAAAAATTATTTGCGGGAGTGTTTTATCGTATCCACAGAGATTGAAGTGAATATATGCGTTCCGCTCAACGGTTTAGTAACTTAAGAGTAGGGGTTTTTAGAATGGTATCAATATTTGTGATAAAAGTTTGCAATAATAAAATCGGAATAAAAGTCGGTTTTTAAGTTTGATAAAAATATGTCAAGATTAGGTTTCGTTAATTCGTCCTAAATGTATCTATTAACCCAAATATGTGAACAAAGTTCGAACCAATATAACCACGTATCCTCGCAAAAGTGTTTATCTCTAAATCAATTTCGTGAAAAATAATGTTTCGACCGTTAGATGATTTCTCTACCTAACACTCGAAACAATAGGCATTAATAATGATACAAAGCGGATATCAACTTCCAAATCTATCTCTAGCATTTGTCATAGTTAATAGATGAAGATATTAGGTCAAGAATTGATAAGTTTATCTCTAACACAAACCAAATCATAAATGGAAAAAGGGTAGCAAATAACTTCATCTATATTGATTAACAACTTGTTCACAAATATTAGATTAAGAAGAATACATAAATTCTGAACCAACTACTTCTAACCTTGACAAAAGAGGTATTTAGCTACTCATTTTCATGGTAGCTTACAAAAGAAGTTTCGGAAGAAGGTTGATGAACATCTGAGTCGAAGAATCCAACTTGGATGAGAATCCACCTTCTTTTTGTGGAATAAAGTTAAGAGATGAAGAAATGGGAGATATTTTGGTTCTAGGGCACAAAAATATCTTATAAAACAAAACTAGTAAAAAGTATGGTTTGGTCTCAAAAAGTACAATAGCTACTTATAGAAAAAGTTGTTGATCTGTCATGCTCGCGACCTTACTCGCTTAGTGAGCTCACAACGAGCGTTTGCTACAGCCTCGCCTAGCGAACATGCTAGCAAGGACTGAGGATTTGATTCTGTTTGCCTTTGCTAATTGCTCGCTAGGTGCTCGCCTAGAGAGTTCTTCGCCATCTTCCTCGCTGCCAGCGAACGATGCCAATTTGATTCTGCCCAAGTCTGGGAGTGTTCACTAGCAGCTCGCTACGAGCTCGCCTAGCGAACACTCGCTACTGCTTCGCCAGATGCTCTCCTAGCGAACTTGCTCTTACTCTACATCTTTCTTGATTCCTTTTTCAAATTTCTTGTGTCTTCAAATCCTGATCTTTCATGCTTAAATATTGCACATTAACACACAAATTAAAAGGACCAAGAGTGTTTCACAATATGTTGCATATTAACAAAAGCAAGGCGGTTTAGAACACAAATTAGATAAAATAGGAGCTAAAGATGCCCATATTTGATAGCTCAAATAAGCACAATTGGGCATCTAACAACTCTCCCCAACTAGAATCATGCTTGCCCTCAAGCAAAGTATGCCTCTTGAAGAACAAGAGCATTTGCTTAAAGAAAAAGGTTTTTCCTAACTTGGATCAAATGGCTCAAACACATGTGAATCAACCAGACACGCGTTCCCAATGGTTAGAACAATACAATACACAAGAACTAAATCCTTAAAGCAATACAAAACATGCATCAGTCCACAACAATGATATCCTGAATGAATCACCCTATCTCTCCTCTTCGAATAAGGATTAAAGAAATTACACGTAAACAACCGCGGGGACAATTTCACTCTCCAACAAACAATGCAAAAATAAAATCAATTCATACAATATCTAACAATTATAAATGAAAATGCGAAAGCACGAAGATCACTAAGGTCTTTTACGGTTGTAGCTTGGTCAGGTTAAAAAACAAGGGACATATCTAAAGCCATTGAAACGAAATTGCCGACGCAAAAGAGGTATTCACTGTACAACTATTCACACATCCCAACTTCGTTCTACTTGATTCTCATTTGAAACCTTCACAACTCTTATTCCACAACTCAATTTTTTAATTTTTTTCTTCCAAGCAAGCATTCATTTTTGTTCTTTTCTTTTGATCAAATATTTTTTTCTACACCGTATTCACAACAAGTGTTTCTCTTTTTCACATTTCTTTTCAATGCTTGCTTGGTTTTTTTTTAAGAGTTGTGGCAAACTACCAATTTTTATTTTCGTTCTGCCCAACTTATCTTCCACTTCCTTTATAAGTGAATGCTCTTTAATTTTTACGGCAAAAGAACAATTATCAAAAATTTAAAGGTTTTCAAGAAAAAAGATTTTTTGAAGCCTCGCCTTATTCCAAGCCGAGATTCAACTGTTTAAGCTCATAGGGGTTCACGAATACTCTCTACTCACGGGTAACTTTGCATTTGGAATTGGTTGTGCTCGAAAGAAAACAAGCGCCTTGATCATTTCTAATTGCTTCCACAAATTCATAATAATAAAAGACAAAGCATGAATAAAATGAATCGACAAAGTTTATCAGAATCCAGCATTTAAGTGCACAATGCAGGTCTCCTCACAATTTGTGGTTCTAAATCCTAAGTGAATCATTCATTCAATTATGTTGCAAAAAGAACAATATTTAATCACAATAAGAGCAAAGTTCCTTATGCATTCTAAAATTCTAACCGAAGGTAACCATGTACCTTAGCCTTATTCGCTTGTTTATTTTTATCATTGCCATCCAAGCTCGGATGCACCTTCATTGGATACTTCATTCAGAGAGCAACGAATCTAGAGGGTATTGACATCCAACAACCATAAAAATGATTAAAATAAAAGAAATTCAAACAAAACACAATAATTTAAACAAAACATTAAACATTACTCAAATTGAAATAACCGAATGTGCATGGGGGACAAAACACCCTAAAAAGTACATAATCCAAATACCGAAATCAAAACAGTAAAAACTGATAAAGATAAAACAACTTAGTCCTCTTCGGACTCATACTCTTCCTCATCGGAACCGTCATCGTCAAAGTCTTCTTCTCCCTCTACATCATCATAATCGTCACCATCATCAACATCAGCAGGACCACTAGCACCCGCCCCCTCTCCAAAAACAGGCCTGTCCACAGGCCAGCTCGCATGCTGTATAAACTGCTCATGCGTCATCATAGAATGCTCAGTGGAGGGGTCACAGATCAGCAACTGCAATACCTGCATAGAATCATGGATATCACACATGGCTCGCTGTTGAGCGACCATCCAATCCCAGTTGTAGTTACAAACTTTCTACTGGAAAGGGTCAAAACCTTGAGAAAAACCACCGGAACCATCAGTACTCCCGGTATCACCTGCAGTTGTACCACTTCTGTAATTCTTTGGCTTGCAAAATTTGTTCACATATTTGTCATCAATTGCTGGCGGAATCTTCACTAAACTTCGAGATGGAAGGTTCAGTCGTGATTGTGAGCATAGAGCCATAATAATGCAAGGAAAAGCAAGGGGGCAATTAACTCGCGCCCCTGCCTTTAATCCACTCTCTACAACAGCCTTCATCTCATTGGCGATGATCCGAGCAACATCAATCTGGACATTTGTAAGGATGATGTGAACTAAGTGTGCCACTGGGATCGGCACAGTTGATGTATGGGACTTGGGTTTGATGTTTGTAAGAACCAATACCAGAATCAGTTGAGCAATGGGGATCATGTCCTCCCTATGAAACCTTACCGCCTCCCCAGACGAGTTTCTCTCCACACTCTTTCCCTCTAACAAGAGGGCTGCTGAAATATTATCAATATCGGGGCGGAGCCTCAAGTTACAGGTATACGTATCCAATTCGTTGGCTCCCAGATGAAGTGGTTCCCTAAGTACTCTGTTGATGGCGGCCCTATCAAAACAGATATGTCGACCTCCCACTCTTGTCATCCATGTGAAAGGCTCGTCATCGCTCGGTAATGAATTTGTGTAGAACTCGCGAACGATGTTGATGCTGTAACTTTCGAGTGGGGAAATCAGAATGTCCCACCTCTTACTATTGATTAACCCTGCAAAGGTTCTGAATTCGCCTTGTGGTTCAATTATGAACCTCTTTTCAGGGAGTATCTTTATTTTTTGTAAAGCCACAAAGCGTG